AGTACATACAGGTCTACAAATAACAAGGACCAATAATATGGATAAACATATTTTTATATGTATAGTAAGCAGCAGTTTAACTAGTAGTTTAACAATATCACAACCTAAAAAATAATCATGATTTTTATATATGAACTGTGATTAACATATTACAGTTGCATCGACAGTCTAAGTTATGCTATAAAACATAAACATCCAATACGTTTTACACTTTAAGAGCTATGGTTTCTGTAATCTTTAATGTACAGATTAAATATATTTGATAAATTCTGTATAATACAAATACAGTTCTAGACTGTAACAAAGAGAATAAAAACTACTATATCATGCCTATTAATATATCATAAACCAATACAAATAGATCATTAAGACATTTACGGCATGTCGGAATTACTGTAATTATGAGATTCCGACACATCCCTTGGGTTGCCGTCTCGTGACTACGGTAATTACAACATAGCGTGAACCCAGCAAAACCTTTTACATGATACCAGTGTTGCAGTGCACTTATAATGCAGTTGTGAATATTCATCACACATAACCAAGGCTAAGAGATAGAGGTTGTTCAAAGCTGACATGCGTTTCCTCATGGTACTTTCCCTCCAGAATTCTCTGGATTGCCGTCAGCACCTTGTGATTAAAGACCATGTCCAAATGAGCCATGCCTCTGAACTCTGTCACATGCACGGCCTGTTCCTGCTTCCCTATCCACCGCTTACAGAGACTCATGCTGCGGCTGTCGACCGTATCATCGCCGTCATCGTAAAGGATATCTACGGGGTCGGCGTTTGGAAACAGCTCGTTGTACACATAGGTTACGGGAGTAGGGAGTCCCACCCCGTATAAGCAGTAGACCTCGACTCCAGGTGTGGGCAGGCCGGCTGTGAGGTTTCTGGTGTCCTCCCACATGTACCAGCCATCCTCAAAGTCAATGTCTTTAAAGAACTTCTGGTAGTCCTGATTGGTGTAGTTGAAAAAGGGGGTGGAGATGAAGGTGTGGTCTTTGGGCCACGCCTCTTCAGAAGGGATCATCCACGGGTTTGTGGTCGTCATCCGTTGTTCTTCGCGGATTTTTATATTGGACACGAAGGGTATGCCATCATTTTCACCTAAAAAGGCATAAAATGAAGACCAAAACTCATTTAAAGAGTCCATTTGAATCCTTGTTTTTGGGTTCTACAATAATGTTTTTATGCTTGAATGTAAAAAAAAAAAACATTATTTGACATCTCTTCCCAGTCTGTCAGTAACACTGTTTAGTTCCTTCTGCTATGAAGCCCCTACTTCTGAAATGTGAATTGTGCTCTGATTGGTCGGCCGGACAAATGTGCTGTGATTGGTCAACCACTTCGGGTGTGTTTTGTAAATACCACATCTTTTACCACAACCAAGAGTTTCAACACACTACTAACTTACACAACCAAGCCTCATCCCTTTTTTTTGAGTGTGCCTTGAGCGGGATTATTCAAATGAGAAATGTTGTAAAGTGTGAGGTCCTGGAGGATACCTTAAGGCGTTTCGGGGAGTTCAGAAACAGTGCTTACTGATATAGAGAATAACTCCCTTTGGAATGACTTTGTGATTTTTAACTGGTTTTATAATGTCTACATGTGTATCTAAAAGCATACTGAAGATACTGACTTTATGACCCAGCGGAAAAGCTCTTTTGCTCCAAATAGAGCTATAAGGCCATCTAGCAGAAGTCATGAAATATCATGTTATATTATTATTTTTCCCCACTAGAGGTGGCAAAGACCAAACTGACCCAATGCGAGATGTTTGGAGCCGATTTGAGTTAAAAGAATGTGAACTGTGCTTACATTGTATTATATAGATAAAATAAAATCTAGTTATTTAAAGGTAAATCATTTTTTTATAGAAAAACTAAAAAAATGCATTAAAAATAGAACAAATATTATACAATTAAAGATGGGGAAAAATAATCATTTCTGAACAAAAAAAAAAAAAAAAAAAAAAAAAAAAAAAAAACGTTTCAGGGTCATTTTGACCCGCGAGGGATTTGTTTAAGGATGCAAGGTAAGTTAAACATTTAATTTGTTAAAAATATTAAACAATTTAATTACACTACAATCACAAAATTATGTTTACATGTTTATGTTTTTTATAACATCTTTTATTCAGCAAAGGTGCATTTAATAATAAATCAACTAATTAAAATGACTATAAAGCTAAATAAAAAATTATTTAAAGACACAAAATAACTAAAACCTAAAATACTATTAAAATGGGAAAAAAATACAAATAAAAGCTAAATCAAAATATTAATAAATACTATAAGCAAGGATGCTTTAAATGATCAAAAATAACAGTAAAGACATTTATCATATAAAATATTTATATTAATATAACATTTTTATTAGGGCTGTGAAACAATTAATCGCATCCAAAATAAAAGTTTGTGTTTACATAATACACCTGTGTGAACTGTGTACAATTATTTTGTATATATAAATACAAACACACACGTATATATTTAAGAAATATTTGCTTATATATACTGTGTATATATATATAATTTGTACTCTACATAAATATTTTATATATAAATAACACATTTTTCTTAAATACATACATGTATGTGTGTGTATTTATATATACAAAATAATTCTATGCAGTTCACACACATATATAACGTAAACACATTTATTTTGGATGTGATTAATCGCGATTAATCGTTTCACAGCCCTAATTTTTTTTTATAAATAAATGCATCACGTTTCTCGAGCAGCAAATCAGCATATTAAAAAGATTTCTAAAGAATCATGTGACACTGAAGACTGGAGTAATCATGCTGAAAATTCAGCTTTGATCACAGGAATAAATGACATTGTAAAATAGAAAATAGTTCTCCAAAATTTCTTCTCTGTACCTGAAGCTAAGACTCTGAGGGGCTTCACAGCTCCTGCCCAAGGTGCTCCCAGAGAGATGAAGCCCTTAATGTAATGGTCTTTCCAGTCCTGAGTCTGCTGGTTGAGGAAGTACAGGATGTAGTTGTTGCCCATGCTATGGCCCAAAAGGTAGACTGGTTGCTTGTACTCATCATGCATCTCTTCCACCAAGCTTTTCAGACGTGAAAAATACTCCTCCTGCTCATCTATGTGGTACCAAACATAAACGTTCACAGATTGTTGTTATTGGAACACAGAATGAAAGTACACCTTGTGAATGGTTGCCAGGGTGTTGCTATGGCGTTGCCAGGATGTTTGGGTGATTTCTAAGTAGTTGCTGTGTGGTTGATAAGAATCTGGTTCCGCCAAAATGTATATATAATTTATTTATTTATATATTTGAGTATACAATGTCAATTATGTAGAATAGGATTCATCAACTGTCCAAGACAGTTTGATTCTAAGCCTAAACAAACACACCCGCCTGTCATGTTCATGTAATGAAGACCTTGATTCACTAGTTCAGGTATATTTGATTTGAGTTGGAGCTCTACAGTTGAATAGTCCTGACATAGAGGCTACCGTCAACTATTTGTTTTGTACTATGGTGAAATGATGTTTGTTGTCCGTCACTGGCATTTAACTTACTTGGAGCGATTCTCCAGTCATACGGAGCACCACGAACAGTCTCATTTCGCACATATCCAAAGCTGACCAACTGTTGAACCATGGTGTGCAAGTAACCTATAACATAAAAAGACCATCAGGATGAAAATGAGGATGTTGTGAGGTAAACGATCCAATACCTTAGTGTTATACTCACCAGTCAGTTTGTTTATGTCAAGAAACTCTATAGGGTGCGTCTGTCCAAATCCAGGGACCCTGACCTCCACCCCGGGTGCGTTCGATGTCTTGCGACTTGTCCTGTTGTACACAATTCTGCACAAAATTGCAAATCTGCAGATGTAGCTGTTACATTCATATCAAGTTTGAAGAAGAAGTTCAAATGTATCACAGCTTCTGATGATAAACATACAGTAGTTAGGACAGTAGATTTGCTACTAATATATCGATTATGATACATTGGCCTGTCACTATGTCATCAGCTTTCGAGAACCCTCCAAAAGCAAGCAACACACAAAAGGTCAATGACCTGAAATACAGAACTGAGGATGATTAGGAAACATTTGTCAATAGATCAGAGGTACATAGAAAGCGTTGCTCTGTTCCTTTGTACACACACGAGAGAAAACAGGAAGCGTGGAAATGAATTGCATGCATAAAACTATATTTATATACTACATTCAAAAGTTTGATGTCTAAGATTTTCTTTATTAAAGAAAATAATACTTTTATTCAGCAAAAGTTCCGTTAAAGTTTTCAAACGTGACAGTAACTTAAAATGTTACAAAATATTTATTGTTAAAGTTTGTTCCCATAGTCAGTTTACCTTATATTATCAATCCAGCAATCAATTCCAATGGGCATGAACATGTTCAGGTCCATCCAGAGAGGAAACCAGTCCTCAGATTTCTTGTAACACATCCAGTGCACTAGTGTTGGCTTGTCTATTTTGGCCTCCAGGCGATTACCCAAATTTCCTGGTACTGTTACAAAGGTGTAAACAAGTATTATTATTATTTTAAACTTCACAATATATGAATTTGAACTTGTATAAAAGTGAGGCGTACTCTGTTATCTTGTCTATGTAGGCACAATTGTGTACTTCCCCCCTGCCTAAATTAATTAAACAAACACTTTAAACGTAATCCCTCTATTTAAATATCCAAACTATGAATGTAAGATTGCTTACCTATGATAAGAGGAGGAGTGCTATTGTTTATGACGCGAGGTTTGGCTGTCGGAGGGAAGATAACGTTAAATAACCAGAATCCAGAGGTCTGGTGCAGAGTAATCAGAAGAATTGCAATGCATCTGAAGGAAGGCGAATGTCCCATAGTGTTTGTGTCTGTGTTCTTCTGGCTGCCTCTCACTCCAGCGCTATTAATGCGTTCGCCGCGAGGGGGGCGGTGAGTGTATCAGAACGTGAGGTCACCGGACCGGGAACACTCTGTGATCCCCTACTGTGTGTGTGATGATTACATTATAAGGATATATTTAAATTACAATAGGTTTGGGAGGTGTAAACATTTCTTCTTCTTCTTCTTCTTTTTAATCTGACAGTACACGTATAAAACATGGGGCTTAAAAACAGACTACACATAAAGTAAAAAAAGATGAAAGCGAAATAGTTTTTAAAAATGCATCATGATCTTTAGTAAGTTGTTTTATTATATGAATAATATGTTTTAAATATGTTTTTTTTTATTCTGTTACATTATCATTCATAGCCTACTTAATTTATAAATAAATAATAATAATAAAAACAGTTTATAAAAGGCAAGAGCATCTGTCCTCTCCGCCCCCTAGCAGTCGTCAGCGAACTCGCTATGGAAACCAAATTGCGTGATGTAAACAAGCATCAGGTTTTTACCTCTGTGGTTTTTACGTTGTTTCCAATGGACTAATCGATCGCTTTAAAAACATTTATTTAAGAACGAACGGGGAAGATATTCCATTTATTGAACTGTAAGTAGCCTACTGTATCCGCATACACTGTAACGAGTATACATTATTAATTTTTAGTTTAGAAGTTGTTTCTCTATCTCTCCATGTGTGTATGACTTGCTTTAGATGGAGGTGTTACCGGAGGCAGATTGTGAAGAGGACGCTACTATAACTTATGATGAAGAAGAGGGTGTTCGAGAATTGAAGAGCAGGCTGTCTAGCATACCAACAACCCCCACAGTTACACACATGTGAGGTTACTAAAGTTCAAAAACATGTGGTAAACTTTTGTTAAAGCAATGAGCAGTGTTTCTCCATAGGAGTTCCTCTTACGGGAACACGTCGAATGTTTACAACGGCCTTAATCATTAGCCACAAACATGGGTGGTATTGGCTCGCATGTGGGGTAGTAGAACAAGGTCAAACACCTCCAACTTTTTTACCTTTACAAAACTAGGGTACATTAGTGTACAGAGACGGGGTAAGTTGATGTTAAAACCCACCCACCACGGCCTCAATCAATAGTGGACTGTATTAAACTTATAAGGAAGAATGTCACGAAGCTGGTCAAGAAAAAGCCCTGGTCAGGGTTATAGCTAACTAAATTTAAAACCATAAAAACATTTTCCCTAGCCTACTTGAAATAAAATAACTATTAACTCAAATTAAATAAATTCTAAACATATTATATTATATAAACATATTATAAACATACAAACCTTATTTTATTTCAGCTAGTTAACTTGATGAATTAAAATATAAAACACCTTAAACTTTTTATCAAGTTCCTCAAACCACTACAAGAAGCCACCTCCACCAGAGAACACCATTGTCATGAAGGGGTGTAGATGGTTAGGAAACAATGATTAGGTAAGTGACACATCAAATTCAGATCCACATGAATGGCCGGACCCAAGGTATCTCAGCAGAACATTTCCCAGAGCATCACAGTCCCTCCACTGGCTTGTACTCATCCCACATTGCATCCTGGTGCCATCACTTCCCCTGGTAAACGACGTACACGTACAACACCATCCACGTGATTTAAAAGAAAACGGGACTCATTGGACCAGGTGACCTTCTTCCACTACTCCAAGGTCCAGTTCTGACTCTATTGCCTGCAGGGGTCACTGTCCACTACTGACTGGGAGCAACCTACAAGCATTGCCTTTTCAGAGATACTTTGACCGAGTAGCCTTGCCATAAGAATGTCAAAGTCACTCAGATCTTTATTCCTGCCCATTTCTCCAGTATCCAGCACTGATTACGAAAACTGATGGTTTGCTTTCCATCTAATCTACCCAGACTTTAATATGTAGCCTTGTTAGGAGATGATGATATACATTACATGCAAATGATGCACATAATTTTAAGAGTAAAACAACAATGAAACATCTTTCTATTCATTGGTCTTACTGTTTCAGAGCAAAGCCAATACCTCAAGTGGACCTTTCCAATTGTCCATCCTCATATAAGGAGAACTCCTCACAGGAGAAGCTCATGCTTGCGATGGCTGAGAACTTCCGTCAGCAGTATGCTCTTTTATATCCTGATAACAAAGTGCTTCTACTGTGTCCTGTAAATGAGTGCGGCGTTCAGGTACTTACAGTAAATATGCTTTCCAGACATGGCAACGTTACCACAAATGACTTGAATACTCCTTTGTTTTCATGATGTTTTCTTATTTTACTGCACATCAACAGAAATTTGTAAGCACCACCTTGCGAAGAACATTGCTGCCGTATCCTGAGCTGTACTACTGGGAGGGATGTGCTAGTTTTGTGTCTGATTATCTCTCGTTGGAGCTCTTGGATCCACCATTTGAACTTGTGAGAATTTCTGACTGTTTCCCTAGTAATTGCATTTAGCTTGATCTAACATGACTTATGAGGATTGTTTTCGCCTTTTGGACTCGAAAACATGTTTTTCTATTTCATTTCTGTTCTATTTAGCCCAAGCAGCTGTCATCGCCCACCTGGGTTCTGCAGACTCGGAGAGGCACGTGTTTTGATTTCTCCAGTGTGCTGTGTAGCCTGTTGTTGGGCGCAGGATACAATGCTTACTGCGTCAGTGGGTACGCTACTAAAGAGATGTGTCTTCTCGATCAGTCACGGGAAGAATGTCCCTTACTGCAGACTCAAATCCAAGTAAGTACTGAGTTAAAACCATACTCCACACATTGTATGTAAAACAAGTTTTATGGCATGTAAATTTAAACAACGCATCACTGTTTGTTTGATCATTTATATGTGATGATGACTTTAAAATGAGTTTTCAACCTCTTTCAGACCCCTCGGTGGATAGATATACAGAGCAAAAACTAAAACCTTAACTACAATAAAAATAAAATAACTTATTTTTTATTTTAATTTAACTTTTATGTACTAAATAACTAAAACTAAAATAAAATATAAAAAGACAAAAACAACAAAATTACTAAAATTTTAAAATGAAACAAATATACAAATAAAAAAATTATACAAAATATTAATAAAACATAATAATATCTCAATGATACTAAAATAAATAACACTGGCAGAGCAGGAAATTAAATAAAATTGTCATTAAATAAAATCATGCTCTCTGATGCCTAAACTGCAAAACTGTAATTATAAATAAATGATAAATTATGTTAATAGAAAATCATAAATTATCATACATTTATTCATGTTGTTAGTTTCATAATATATTGATTTAAAAGGATCATATATTTGTACATTACTTGATTTTACTTTACTTAATATTACTTGTTATATACCATATTTTAATATGGTATTTCTACGTTTTTTTTTTAAAGATGCAGTAAGCGATTTCTGCGAAACACTGATATTTGAAATTAATCCCAAAAAACACACCCCACCCTTCATTGCTCGAACCCCGAAATGCAGGAAACTGCAATGCAAGCGGGGATGTCTCTTTATCATAGCTGAATCTAAGCAAAATGATGCTTGCGAAAAATAAAGCGAAGACTTTCAACAGCGTGTCTTAGAAATTCCTGCACCTTTAAAATTATCATTAACATACATTAAATTAAGTAAAAATGTTTACAGTGTAGTTTGAGCAAGCTCTCTGAAGTATGTCCACAGATACCTTAGAGGTTGTAAACCATCTGTTGAAGACCACAGCTTTAACACCAATTTCCTTGAGTGGTCGTATTGAAATCAGTTACCGGTACTTCTGAAAACTTTTGTATGACCTGCTCAGGGGAAAACAGAGGAACCGAAGAAGATATTGAGGAAATACTCTGTGAAACCCCCACGCGACTTGGACAGCTCCTTTGAAAAGCGTCAAGAGGAGAAACGTCAGACAGAAGCTGAAGAAGCTGCACTGAAGGAACAACTGGAAGCTGAGAGACTTCAGAAGGTTGGACAGAGAATGTTTCAGTGAAATTCAGTAGAGATTTTGTTTCGCATTTTCACCGGTTCCTTTTAAACAGGAGAAAGAACGTCCACCGCCCGACCCTCTTCTGGGCTTGAGAGTTCACAGCTGGGTTCTGGTGCTCTCAGGGAACCGGGAGGAACCTGAGAACTTCTTCATTGACCCTCTGACAGGCAAGAGATACTCCACCACCAATGAGAACTTTCTGGGCATAGAGAGTGTCTGGAACCATCAAAACTACTGGGTCAACAAACAAGACTGTACTTTCGGTTGTGGGGTCAGTGTCTCTTAGTGTGGATGTGGTATTAATGTGAGGATGACAAGCATTGGGAAGTTCACCGGGTCTGTTTGTGTCTGCAGGAGATGACCTTTGACTTGGGTGATCTATCAAAGTGGGAGTATATGTTGTGTGGCCCAACTAGCCAATCTATGTCAAACATTTCTGAGCCAGAGACACTCCAAGACTCAGAAGATGAGGAAGAAGTACAGAAAAACTGTTCTTTATTTCTAATTTTTCATTTAGTTTTTATCCCATTATTGATTTAAAGAGATGAAAAATCTGTCATCATTTAAACTTACTCACCCTCATGTTCCAATCCTGTTTACATTTCTTGTTCTGTTGAACACAAATAAGGATATTTTGAAGAATATTTGTAACCAAACAGTTGTTATGCACCATTGACTTCCATAGTCTAAGGCTCAATCCCAATTCACCGCTTGCCAACCGTTCCGTATTTGACACATAAAAGTCTTGTTCCGTATTGAACTGATACGGAACGCACTTTGTTCCGTATTTTTGAGAATCAGTTTAGTGCATTTCCATGACAGTCACATAGCTTCTAATATATATGTCAGACAGACTATGAATGATCGAAGACCTGCAATAATGGAAAATTCGGGGACTTGGCGCCCCCTTGGCGGGCTCTGATGTGTAATGACGTGGAGTTGTCTCATTGGTCGCACGTTAGAGGCGCCAGCGTCATTGGATGTATAGTTGCGGGCCGGCATAGATATATGCAGCATAGATACACGGCTGTGCAGCTGCAAATGGCTTCAGTAAATCGAGGAAAAGGAGTTTCCGAAGACATTTGTACTATAAGAAAAACTACTAAATTAAAAATATATATTTTTTTTTTTGCACTTGAAAGATTCTAGAAGTCTAAAATCCATTGAATAAGTTCACACAAGGCCACACCTTGTATAAAATTAAGCTGTTTTTATTTTTCTTAAAAGCAGTCTAAGCCGATGAGTTTTGAAAGTTATAAGTTGTATTTGTTGAAATTAAAAATAAAACGTATTATAAACTAAACAAATCCATGGTTCATTGTTGGCAAAATGATCATGATAGCCTTTATATATCTAGCCTATGTAGTTACAGTCATTAATTAGGCATACTTTGCTTTTCTATAAATACAGGCCTAATAAGTTGCATTATAATATGCCATAATACATGAATTTCAGGGGTCATTTCTTCCATGTAATGGAATTTTAGGGGTCATTTGGGTTGTTCCATTTCATTGTAACTTGTAACTCTCTTTTAAGGGCCAAGGGGTACACTCGAAAACAAGGGGTAGGGCCAAGGGGTGAATTGGGATTGAGCCTAAAGATACCAAAATATCTTCCTTTGTGTTCAACAGATCAAAGAAATGTATAAAGGTTTGGAACAACTTTCCAAATTTTCATTTCGGTGGGAACTATCCTTTTAACTGTTGAAGGGCCCATTCCACACTAAACCTGCCAAGAATCTATGAAATCAGATGTAACCAGCTATTTTTTTTTTCTTCTCAAGGAGGAAACGGATGAGCTGAAAGTGTTTGAAATGCCTCCATCTTGGGTGACTAAAATAGAGATTTCACCCCCAGGTCAAATTCTCACTCTCATCCCTTATCCACAATTTCTTGATGCAAATTAATCATCAATGTTCTGTTTTATTTTGTATCTTTATAGATATGGAAATGCGTTTTCCAGGGGGTATGAAGGTTGTCCAGTACAGGAAAGCCAAGCTGGAGAAGTTTGCCCCTCACCATCAGATAGATGGTCTTGTGACCAGACTCACCATTTATAAAGACCTTGATTGTAAGACCTTTGTAACATATAAAACATACCTCGTCATGTTGGTCATGTATATTTAAATGGACAAAAAATTCTTGATAAAGGCATAGTTCATCCAAAACAAAAATAATGCCTAAATAAATAAAGTGTATTAAAAATACTTTTAAATATAATGACAATAATTAAAAATATAATTTTATTATATAATAATATAATTTATTATTTATAAGCATGTTTATTTAGCCTTTAACCTGTGCGTTGTCTCAGTTTGTCACTTTCATAAATAAATATTATGCATATTAAAATATGATAAATATTCTGAATAAATATTATTTATTCATTTGCATGTTATTTTGTGTTAACACTTTTTTTTTTTTTTTATCAGGCACACAAACCAGCACTGTTAAGGAATGGTTCAGTCACCGAGGAGACTGTCTTGACGAGAGAGAATTTCACACAGACAGCAATGTGACATCTGATTATTTCAGGCCTGGAAGAAGGGATGCTCTCAGATGTAATCGAACACACATTTTCTATATATTACCCGATGTCATTCAGCATGACTCGTTTCATTACTGATGACTCGTCAACTTTAATAATACCAGTTTTGCTTGGTTTAGTTGGGGGTACTGCTCAACAAAAATTTGATTATTTAGAAAACTGATTATTTTCAATTTAACTGAAATCACATTGCATTTTTGATTACCAAATGTGGGTTTGGTAATCAAATTAGTTAAATTAGTTCAAAAAAGCCTGGAATTGTAAAAGTTTAATTTTGTTTAGGCCACAGGTACGTCACTTTAGTTCCTGAGACGGAACGTCAGATGGACTTTTATAGTCATACTCACACTGACGGTCTAGCCAGAAGAATCGAGAAGCCTTTCGAAATGACAGAAACCTTTGAAGATCGGCTTGACTTTCTCTTTTATCGACATGTTGTTTACGGAAAGCAAGTCAAAGTGATTCGGGCTGGAGAGGCTTTTGAACAACGGCCTCTAATGGTAATGTTCTCTCAACAAACAGGCTTGACTTTTAATCTTTAAGCAGTTTAACCTTATATTATCTTGCTGGTATAATATTAACCAACAGTATACTAAAAGCTTGGCCTTTTTTTGGGGGGTCTCCTACAGAGGGTGGAGGAGCGGTTCCACAGAGATCCTTCTAAGCCGGCAAGTAAAGATGTGGCTGAACGGATCTTTAAGATGTCTGACAGACGGATCAAGGTGACCTATCATCTGGAGGACGACAGGATCACCCCATCTTGGCTCAACTTCATGAAACCCAAAGAAGCGGCAGACTCGCAGAAAGCACAAGCTTTTACTCCACAGATGGTTTCTGGCTTTCAGGTCTGAAGTCACACATAAAGAATTACTTTCGTCAGTTCCATGATCAAAGTAATACAGCAGTGTTTTATTGCCAACTTAAAAAAAACATACAAAACATACAAGAAACAAAGACAATGCTTTGAGAAAAATCTCAATAGACATTTTTATGATAAAGTCAACTTTTTGAGAATAAAATCAAAATATTTTATGACAATAAAGTTAAAATTACAAGAGTAAGTCATTGCGATATGAGACTAAAATCGTAATGTGAAATCAATAGAAAACAGTTTTGTAGAAAATGTAAAAGCGACATTTCTATTTCTGTCAAGTCCATAAAATCTCATTGATCCAAATCTGACTCGAAATAATTGAACTTTATAGAAATCTTTGACTTCAAATCCTGTTCATTGAAGAAAAAGTAAAAAAATAAAAGAGTAAATAATAGAATTGTAATTTTTGGGTGAACTGTCCAACACAGTCTCATTACAGTTCTTAACTATTTTTAATTGACTGGAAGCGAATTCATATGATCTCATTCATACAATCTTGTTCTGCATGATCATGTTTGTACGTTTTCCTATGACCTGCTTATTAATCACTAAGTGTTAGATTTAGGGGCGTGGTTTATTACAAATAGTACTATTTTATGTACGGTCCAACCCGATCAACTCACGACCAAGTCGTACGAATTCGACGAATGATTAAAAAGTGGCTAATTCGTAACAATTCATACGACCTAACTCGTACGAATTAATACGATTTTGCTAAATCGTACATATTTTACGAATTGGCCAATTCGTATGAATTCGTACGAATGACCTACCCCTTACCCCGCCCCTAAACCCAACCATCACGTGGGTTTAGACAAATCGTACGAATTAGTACGAGTGAGGTCGTACGAATTAGCCACTTTTTAATCATGCGTCGAATTCGTTCAAATTGGTCGTGAGATAGTGTTGGTACGATCCCATTCATACGTTTTCATATGACCAGCTGTTTTGTCACTGAGGGTTAGATATATTACGAATAGGATGCTTTTCTACAAACTTACAACTTTGTAAAACTTTGGAACTATCTCTTTAAGCATAACATATGTTCTGATTTGCTGTGATTTTGCAGCAGATGTAAAGATAGTCACTAGACCTTCAGCATCATGGTTCATAATTTGTTATCTTTGTGTTTACGGCTCGTTTCTTTTTGCATGTTCAGGTGGATCGTTTTGCGAAACCCTACAAGAACTTGCAGTTGTATGAAATGCTTGTGGAATTGATGAAAGATGAGTATAACATTGAACTTGGGATCAGAGATTCGGAAAAAGAGGTATTACAGTTCACAAGCACCACAACAAATGTTGTTGTTCAGCCGATCATATTGACGTTAGCGTGTGTGTTTCAGGTAAAGGCCATTCTGTCTTTGAGAAAAAAGGAGGAAAGTAATACTGATCTGCTGATCTCTATATACAACACTAGGAGGAACAAGATGGCACATCAGCACATGGAAGAAAAGGTGAATCAAGGCTTTAAACGGTCAACCACTTTCATCCAAACTACCACCTACCTCTGTTACCTTTCTTTCCTCAGGAACGTATGGCTAAAGAAAAGAAGCAGCGGCAGAAAGAGAAAGAGCTAGACCTGTTGGCTCCTTTCCAGGCTCGACTGGGACTACCAGAAGTCCTCACGCACCAGGAAGCACTTCAGTTGGAGACAGAGTGTCTGACTGAGTTTAAACAGTTGCTTGATAACAAAACCAGCAGTATCCAGAGCAGAATCGAAAAGGCAAGCTAGTTTAGTCAAGAAGATTTAGCACCACCTTAAAATACTGCATAAATTCATAATTGCATAGGTGACTCGAATAGATAAATCGCCACTGAAAGGGATGGAAACACGGTTCTTTTTGGCTAAGCGGGGTAATACACTTCTAGTGAATTGAAATCATCTCAAACTTCTTTGTTCAGGAGACAGAGGAGTTGCAGAAGAAGCAGCAGTGGTTCCAGAAGAACCAGCTCAACTTGACCTCTAAGGACGAGGAAGATTACCAAGCTTACTGCTCTGAAGCCAAGTTCAGGATCCACATTCTCAAAATGAGACTCAGTCGGTGCGCTTCGCAAATCTGTTATAACAACTTTTTTGAGTATCTTAACTAGTTTTTGAAAACGGTACAACTGTGTGCAATTTAACCAACGGTAGCCAATTAATTTGGAGGCGTATGGGCAGATATTCGCCATGTTGGTACATTTTGCTTTAATAACAGTAAATCTGTATGTTGTTGTTGTAGACACAAGGAGAGGGGACCTCAGAAGACTCTGGCCCTGGAGGAGAATCTAAAAAGACATCCAAAGTTGGCCAGTTACTCATTGTGACACAGGATAAGTGCATCCTATCTACTATCTGGGGCACCCTATCTTTCAGGACATATCTCTAACCGTCACATATGAGTTCAATAAAATGTTCTGTTGAATCATTTGAGAGGTTATTTTCCTTTTGACAAAATGTCGAGACACAATAACTGATGACAATCAGAAGTTGTTCAGTGTCAAGTGGCTGGGTAACAATTATGCACTACTGTTCAAAAGTTTGGGGTTAGAAAGATATATATATATATATATATATTTAAATAAGTCTCTAATGCTTACCAAGGCTGCATTTGTTTGATCAAAAATACAGTAAAACTAATTTTGAGTTATTTAAAGGGTGGTATAAAGTCCCCTTTTGCTAGATGTAAAATAAGTCCCTGTTCTCCCCAGAATGTGTATGTGAAGTTTTAGCTCAAAATACCCCACAGATAAAGTATATAAAAGATTCTAAAATTGTCTCTTTTAGGGCCGGTTCACATATCGCGTCTTTTGCGCGCTCAAGTTTGTTATTTCAAATGTAGGCGCGCGGTATGCGCACTCATAATGGAAGCGATGGGGTCGCGGTGCGACGCGCTAGTTTTTTCCATGCGTGTCCGCGCCGCGTCGAGATAAAAACATTTCAACTTTTCAGAATGACGCAAGCGCACCATACGCACACAATAGGTCATGTGACAAGAACCAACTGAAGCGCAACCGCCCTGGCGCTTTGGAAAATGGAGAATCTGGCGCACCCAGCGTTTTCTACGCGTTTTAGGCGCTATATGTGAATCCGGCCTTAGAGGGTCAGTCAAAACACGTTGTTTCGTGTGTGTCCCTTTTAATGCAAATAAGCTCCTGCTTCAAGAGCCTGTGTGTTAGCTGCTCCGATTGCCTCTTGCATACAAGCAATGAAATGTCAGAAACTGTTCTGCCTTTTGTTTAAATTGGAGTCAGACAACGATGGAGAGACTCAACAAGAAGTGACATGTAGAATGCAACAGGACGTTTCTTGAGGAAGTTAAAGGGATAGTTCACTTTGAAATTAATTTTTGATATGTTTTAGCTTACCTCAAGGGCATCCAAGATGTAGGTGCCTTTGTTTCCACAGTATTTTCAATTTTGACATTTTTCGGTCAAACCGGTGTTGTCTGTCAGTCATATAATGCAGGTATGGGAGTCCACCTCAAAGAGCATGCACAGAGAAGTCAAAATTAAACATGATTTAATGACTCGTGAATTTAAATACACATTGATGGCCTAAGACACGAAACGCGCGGTTTGTGGGAGAAAACGAACAGTTTACCTCTTGTTAACAGCCGTCGAACTGATCTGAATCAGAAGTCCAACTGAACCGTCTCCAACGTTGCGCCAGAAGTGATCGCTCGCGCGTCTACATCACGCAATGTTTAGACGGAGATTTACCTTTCACTAAACATAAGGCTTGTTTGAGATGAGCGAAATCTGCGCAGAACCGATCACCGCCAGATGGATGGTATCCGAGAGCAGTCCACCTGGCTCTGAGTTCATGCCGACCTACATAAAAAAATACTCCCAGGAGCGCAAGGCGGAAGTGTCGGATTCTGCAGTTCCCCACCGATTGCGCTCAGCTGATCAAAACATCAAAAGCAGGATGGGAAATGACTTGCTGACGACACAGCTTATTGCTCATTGGTTTAAACAACCGTGATGTATTGGTCTCTTTTAAAATGTTTGCTTTTAAAACTGATATTGTGCTTTATGTCTACACAAATGGTTGAATAAACTCTCTAACAGTGCCATATGGGTTATGTGATGTCATTTTTTATTAAAAAATATATAGAAACACATCTGTTTTAAAGAAAAATGATTGATAAACACATATTTGGAATGTAATTAAATAACAAGCACTTTGGGTGTCTTGTTCATTATATTTATTAAATCACAACCAGTTTATTAGCAACACGTGCACGAGTGTGAATCGCGCGATATCAGACTTTGATCTCACAGGTGTCTGATCCACTGCGAGAACCGAGTTCTGTTCGGCTTAACTGCGCTTTTTTCACTCCTCCTCTTACTGCAGCCAACAGACAACACCGGTTTGACCAAAAAAGTCAAAAAAAATGAAAATGCTGTGGAAATAAAGACACCTACATCTTGGATGCCCTTGAGGTAAGCTAAACAAATATCAAAAATTTATTTCAAAGTGAACTATACCTTTAACAGGTAGTTAACCACAATATTAATGACATAATCAAACAGCAACATTACACAAACTAGTTAGAAAAGTGAAATCAAACCATTAATTCTAACAATTAATTAGAAATCTATGTGAATTTTCATTCTCATCATAACTAGTCTTAAGTGTCACATGATCCTTCAGAAATCATTTTAATATGCTGCTCAAGAATCATCAATGTTGAAAACAAGTTAATTTGCGGAAACCATGATAAACTTTCTATTCAAAGAATTCTTGAAGGAAGAATAAATAAAAGGAGAAGGACCACACTTATTTGAACTTTTTTTTTGTAGCAATGTGAATGTCTCTACTGTCACTATTGATCATTTTAATGCACCCTTGCTGAACGAATTTCAATCTTTTTTGGGCTGTGTAATAAAATGCTAGTCAATAGACTGCTTTACATAAATCTATATTGTAATACTATTGTGCATTGCAAAGCCCTACATAGTCCTTTGAAGAAAAAATTCAGAAGAACATCATTAAATAGTTTGTTAAATTATATAAAAATCTTTATTGCCATTTTCACTATAGATTATACACTTAAACTTAATAGCAACACTTCAACACTAATCCCAGTTGGATAATAAAAAAAAAAAAAACAATGCATAAATAACCAACATTCTACTGAGTGCAAAATGTTGGGAATATTATTAAAAGAAAAACTGAATTAACATCCTTTAGTAATGCAAACTTTATTTACATAAAAAGAAAGATCCAGTACTTCATGCCATGCTCCTTAAGAGAAAGGAATCAATCCTTCAAAAGTTGAGAGCTTCAGAGACGCTTGGAAGAGAGAGAGAGCAGAAAGAAAACAGCAAAAATGGCAAACAGTGTTGAACAGATAGAGTTGAGACCAAGTGAAAGTGACATTAATTTAGATTTCTCTAAAATGTCTATTTTAAAAAAGCAAAACAAGCTTCAGTTACACATTACAGCATTCTGCACAAGAAAGCTGTACACTGAAAACCCTAAATGACACATAAAAGCCTGGTAAGGTTAGCCAACATATGTACAAAAACAACTCTGCACAATACTAACATACAGAAAATGTTTACTTATTATACAATGTAGACAGACCGGGTTATTTATTTTTGAATCCTATTTCGCATAACCGTAATCTATGCACGCGCTTACCCTGAAAGACGCGGGGATGGAGTTTAGAGGGAGTCGGCTGACTATCTAGTGCGTTAGCGTAAAATGAAGACAAGCCGCTGATCTACTGCCGGTTGCTCTTTATCCTCTCCAGCCGCTTTTTGAGGTCGTCCAGGTTGGAGGCGGGGGAGGACGAGCGGGTGGGACTGTTGGAGTGGGACTGCTCCTGCTGGAAGTGCTCACGGGACTCCTTCAGCTGGGACAGTTTGCTGTGGAGCATGTCTGTGGAGGAGGCCACCGATGGTCTCAGGGAGCTGAGAGGAGGTCGGTCTTCCTCCGGCTGCAGGTGAACAGTTTTATTTACAACATATAGAAACGAGTTGCAAATAATTGTATTATTATTATTAAAACTTAATTGGTTAACACTTTATCAAGAACAATTACCAAAAATCTAAATTTGTATACTCACTGATAAATTAACATAGGAACTAACTAATTAATTAATTAACATATTAAATATGTTAACAATACTTTTTGGACTTCAACATTTTTTAAGGGGTTGTTATTAAATTAAAATTTGATTCTGTAATTTTAATAGATTAAAGTTTATCATCAATAACGTTTTTATATTTTTTTATTAATTAAATTAGTCTAGATTTAATGCATTAACAAATTTTGGGACGGAGTAATTAATAATAAATAAGCGTGCAACGGACTAATATTTCTCACCAATAAAGCAAATATCAATAAGAACAAAAATATTTTTTTATTTAATGTAGTATGATACTTAATTCAATAGCTAAATAAATTAAACAAATTCTTAACTAAATTTTAGAATTTAAAATAATTTCAAATAGTTAAACAATAAAATATTTGATTTACATCGTTAGCTATTAAAATGACTTATTATACAAATCCTAAAATTGTTAAATTAATGCAAAAATTGTCAATATTTTTAGATTCGCTGTAATTGATAATTATTTGTTATTAAAAACATTTGAATAAATCATAACTGTTAAGTCTTATTGTCAAGTAATAAAAGAAAAATACTGTTTTACTGATAAATTAGTCATTACAGAATGCTTTCAAAATATAGTCTAAAGCTGGGTGCCACAAGTACATTTTTTTTTTTTTTTTTTTACTTTGACATATGCAAATGAGCTGGTTTGTGAATCCAATACAGTTTCATTACCTAAAGATTGTAGCGGTATGACGATGAAATAAGTCGAGACACTATTGACTACAGTTATTGACTCAAGTTAATAAGAGACAAACCGTTGAGTTCTCAAGGCCGCGGCGCTGCCGTAAGATCTTCAGTCTCTCGTAGTAAGCGGCGGCGTTCAGATCTTCTCCGTTACTGCTGATGGGCACAGTGCTGGAGCTCGGCAGATACGAGTCTGTGCTGTGCTGAGGGATGACTGAGACAACACACACACACACACCTCCGTGAGACGGAGCCCATCACATCAAGAACACTTGAAGAGGTTTCATTAAAGGTTGGTGTGATTCACCTGTAGAAGTCTGGATTCGGCCCTTTCCTTCACGCTCGGACTCAATCATGCGAAGTCCTCGCTCCACGTAGCTCTGGAAGAACTGGGACGTGTTCCTCAAGAAGGGCTCGAGGTCTGCGTCTGAGTACTTCTGCTTATATTCATACAGCTCCGTCAGGCCCTGACAAACAACATCCTCGTTTGAATAACGCATCAAGTAGACAACGGCAAATGATTCTGGTTCTTTCCTAGGGCTGGGCATTGACATTTCACGATTTCGCTTCACAAGCTCACGATTCGAGATTATATAGATTCATTTTTGGATATGCA